CTGCGGAGGGCGCGGCCCGATTGGCCGGGGAAGGGGGGCGGAAGCGAGGGGCCGTCCCTCCACGTGGCTCGCTGGCGGCGGGGCTCACGCCAGAGGAAGCTCGTTGGACCCCGGGGCCGTGGTCGGGAGGCGGCAGCGGGATACTGGGAATTAAAGCGCTTGGATTACGGCACCCATCAGCCCCAGCCAGGAGCGCTGGGGCGCATCAGCTGGCAACGTCCCCAGCTTTGTTAACCCTGCAGGTTCACCGTTTCTCTATACGTCCCGTTCGCTTGCCTTCTTCTGGGATGTTTGCTGGCTTCCCAGTCTACAGCCGTGGGATCTCCTGGTGGTGTCCCATTCCTAACTAGCCAGGCTGCCCCATTGGCTTTTGGAGGTCAGCCACGGCCAAGGCTACCTCTTTTAGTGGGAGGAGAACCTTCCAAGTGGCCGTTGCAGAGCGCTTTTACCAATATTCAAGAGAGAGGTGCCCTCTGCACCTGCTCAGAAACTCTGCAAGAAGCTTAAAAAGGGAAGGGGAGGGATTGGAAAGAAAACTTCTTGCACTCCAATGGCTTTATATGTTTAATTTCCCTTTCCCCTCGTTGTTAAGTGTGCTGACTTGGATGTTAATTTAAATAAAGCTAATTCAAGCGGATAATAAAACCGTAATACATAAACAAATAAACCAGAGGGGAAAAGCAAAGCAAATGAACCACCACCACTCAGTTTAAACTCTCCTTCCTTCCTTCCTTCCTTTTCAGGGGAAAGAGAAGCACTTTAATCATTTCTTTAAAAAAACATCGAAAACAGGTATCCATACAAAAAGTGGCAGCAGTTGCTTGATTTGCAGTGTCTTCCAAGAGCTTCCTTGAACTGGGTTATCTTTTTGGCCAGTTGTGCCGGAAGCCCCTGCATGAGGATCACAGAAAGGTAAGACGGTTGCTCAGTTGACAAGGTTTAAAGTCGGAGCGATTTAAACATCAGGAATGGCCCAACTACTTACTTCAGTTTCAGTTTCGCTACAGGATGGCAAGTGGTCACCAAACAGTGGGGTGAAATATTGTGGACTAGAACATGTCTAAGCCTTATTGGCAAGGTACTCCCGATCCTCCAGCTCTTTAAAAAAAAAAAACTTATTAACTCAACCTACCTGTTGGATTTCCCAGCTGTGTAAGACATGCTTTTTGCTCCTGCTGGCTGCTGTGTTTTGCTGGCTCCTGAAAATTTCTGGAGGTTTTTTTTTGGGGGGGTGGGGGGAGAAAGAACAGAAAAAAAATTGTCTGGTTGAAGCTCTTGAGAATTCTCTCTTTCCCTCCGTAACAATAATGATTAGAAGCCATCTCCAGCTTACAATACGTTGTCTGGCCAAGCATCGGTCGCTCTCACCTCCCCCCGCAACACCCCGCTTGGCTTCCCCAGATCTGAAACAGCCACATCAGAACCCAGCAGCCTGCTTTTTGTGATCTGCACGGTGCGACGTAGGGGAGAAGGGCCGAGCGTCTGCTTGTGCCGATTCTCTCCCCAGAAGCAGCGAATGACAGTCGAGGAAGGGAATCAAGGACGCACGGACCAGATTGCAGGTAAAATGAAACCACCGCCGATTGGCCTCCTACACGTTGTTGGGCATCTGCTTCAACGACCCCAGCGTACGTGGCCAAGAGACCCAGGGAGATGGGCTTGAGCACCACCTGGAGAGCCACAGCCCCTCCCCTCCTGGCTTCAGGCCACAGCCACGCCCTGGACATCACCGGGGAGCACGGCAGCTCTTACCTTGCTGCTGTGGGGCTGGCTGGCGGGATTAAACTGCGGTGGCGGCTTAGATTTGCTGCTCCCTGTAAAGAAGGGAAAAGCCAAAAGCTACTTAGGGAGGAACGTCGGCGGAGAGCTGCCAAGTCAAACAAGTAGCAGAAGAGAAGGCAAACATCAAGGCTGCTTGGGGATCAGAGACCAAGTCGTTGCATGCCTCTCTCAGTTCTGCTGTATTGGCAGAAGATCACACCGCCTTCCCTAGAAGACAATCGCAGCGTGTTTCCCAGGCTGGGCACCCACATTTGCGGCTGCAGCGCCACTGAACAGCCTGGCACCGGTTTCCTCCCCGGCACACCCTCAGCAGCGGGGTGGCAGCCGAAGAACCGAAGGAAGAGGGACGTTTACCGGCAAACACTCGGAGATTGGATTTGCTGTAGTCGAAGGGAGTGAAGGGGTCGGCGGCAGTGTCTTCTACTGGCTGGGGCGACGGCTTGGGCTTTTTCCTCTTGGGCGCCTCCGTCGCAGGATTGCGGTCTGCTGCCTCCCGCTTGGGGGTGGCGTGCTCTTGCTGGAAAGGCAGCCGAGGAAGGAGAAAAGGTGTTTGTATTGTTTCGAAGGACGCGGGACAAACTCTCAGTCTTGTTCCTATCACTAAGGCAGAAACTAGAACACGATTGCAGTATGTGAGACCCACGCTGCTGGCTGAGCAGGGAGGGGATCGTGCCAACTGTAATCCAGCGTAAATGAACGATGTTTGGGAGTGTTACTAAAAAGGATCGACGGGCTTCAGAGTCCTTGCGTGCTCTAGAGCTACCCAGCGTTGACACTTACTGCGGCTAACTGGCGAACAGACACCTCCTCCGTGTCTTCGATTCTGGGCTCCTTCTCCGCATCCTTTGGGGCTGCTTGGGGAGAGGCGGCTGTGGGGGGAAGGAAGGAAGGAAGAAAAGGATGGCGAGATTCAGGTCTCGGCCAAGCAGGTCTGGCTTCCTCTCCAGTTTGAGGGGAGACAGAACTTCCTTCTTGTGCCGCTAAGAACACAGCTCTGCTGGATCGCCACTCAGGACCATTCAGCCTGGCTTTGGTGGGGACAGATTGCTAATGCAAAGCTCCCCCCAATTCTCCCCACCCCAAGGAAGGCGACCGCCGACCCGCTGGGTCTCACTGCAGCATTTACTCTTCCGGAGTAAAATGAGCATTGATGCCCACGTGTACATTCTAGGGACTTTCCTCCTCCCAGCTCGTGGGTGATTCTGCCTCAAAAGAAGGACCGAAGATGCTTTCGGCTCCCTTTCCCACGAACTGCCCACAGGAAGAAGGCAAAACCCGCCCAGCCTCACCTGCCTGAAGTTTTCGCTTTCCAGATTCTTTCTTTGCTCCTGCCTGAAGCTGGGCCTGGCTCAGGAGCTTCCACCGATTACTGATCTGGAAGACACAAGCGCAGAGCAGGCAATGCAGCCTTTGTGAAGCCTCTTCCGGCGGCGAGTTCAGCCCTGGCCTGCTTTTAGTGCAAGGGAGGGACAATCACGAGGGCCAGGTCCCTGGAGTCTCTAGTTAAAACAAACTGGTCACTGGGGTAGGAAGAGCCTTCTTCTGAAATCTTGTTACGAAAACGTTCTTACCTCGTAGATTTTTGAGGATGGGTCAGACTTTGCAGCCTGAGAGATGTGAACCAGGTTGAGCTCTGCTGGCAAATACTGAGGGGAATAAAAAGGAGAACAGGGAGAGCTAAATCAGCTTAGTTAAGGCAAGAGGGTGCGGACACGCCTAAGGGCTGGGCTATCTGTTAACGTATCTGTCTGCATCTTCTTTAGATGCCAAAAGGTAACTGCAAGCACTGGACACAGAAATCCAGAGTGAATCAGCTACGCTGGTCGTAAGTTGAGACAGTTTCCTCCTCCTCCATCGAAGGGGGTGTTGCGCCCGGCTGTACATCAGGCTAATATGCCAGGTCCAGAGAGGGGATGCCTTAGGAACCAGAATTTGGCTTGTAGGGAGTCACTTGGTCCTCCTTAGATCGGGGCCTACTGGAAGGAGACCATGGCATCTTCTCTTGCCACAGCTTTAGCCAGACCGAGAGGCTGAAAAAATCAGCAGCTCTCCACACACGACTGCTGACCGACCTTGATTCCAACCGGCAAGAGGCCTGAGGACTACGTCCCTAAGTGAAACCAAGTCCCAAGGTGGCCGTTCAGCGAGGAAGGTGATGTTTACCATTCGAAATGGGTTCTCAAAGGACTCCATGATATGCCGGGCTTTCTGCTGGGCCACTGTTAAGCTCTTGCCTTCTCCTTCGTCCTCTTCGGGCTCCTTGGGAAGGCAGGGGAAGTAGAATTAGCGCTCAACTGGAAGCCCCAAGCCTTCCAATAAAAGGCTCCCAATTCGTTTAATTCTGTGGGATGGGTGACTCCATCCAGCCCATCCTCTCTCCCGCCTCCTCACAGCATCCAAGCCCCCAGGGCACGTCCTTCTCAGCCACCCTGACTCACGTTAAAAATACTGATG